GGGGGATAGAGGCGGGGGGGGGGGAGGCGAGGCCACCAGAGCTGGCCTTGCTACCCCCTTGCTCCTTGGAGGTGACAGCGGTGGCATGGGTGGGGAGTGGGACCAGGACAGCATTTGGGGGGCGGGGGTTAGGTCACTGATGCTGGCCTCGGTCTGTTCCTGCCCCTTTCTGTTGTCGCCGCCTGCAGGGCCAACCTGGGCCCATGCAGTGGCAGGAGGAGTGAGCCTGATGCAAGGTCGGGGAGGAGCGGGTGCGCTGTGGTGGTGGTTGGGGGAGGGAAGGAGTGGGCCCAGGCCTGACAGGTGAGGGAGGAAGAGCAAGCCCAAGTCAGGGGAGAAGCTGGCCCACCACGCTGGCGGTGGTTGGTGGGGGGGAAAGAGCAGCAGGCCCGGCCTTAGATGGCAGCAGCGGGGGCAAGGGGAGGAGTGAGCCTCCTCCCCACCCTCCAGCCTGGGCCCGCTTCTCCCATTTCCCTCCCATCGCTGGGTCGGCCCGGTTCCCTCCTTCCCCCCTCCCTGCTGCAGTGGCCCAGCTTCTCCCCACCCTTGAGCCCGATAATGCCCTCCCCCCTGCTACAGTGGGGAGGAGGGGAGCGGGCCTGGACCCTAAGCAGCAGGAGGGAAGGGGGGTGTGTGCCTGGATACGGTGGGGCACGGGGCTCTGTCCACGCCCGCTCTCCTCCCCCTGTCATTCTTGACGGGCAGTTGGCTAGTTCTCACATAACTGGCAATCCCCTTACCCCGGGGATGCTGAATAACAGAGATTTTACTGTATATAATAAAGGGGAGACTTAGCTAGGCAGTATGTCCCATTTAAATTTCACTGACTCTGCTGACCATTATTAAATCTTCATGCAAAATTCACAGAGGAAGTATGGCTTTTAGGAAGTGCAGACTAACCAAAAGCACTAATTAGTGAGAAGTTGCTGTGATTCGGTGCTTATGAAGGATTGATATGCCTCTCTATTTTATAGCCTTCCTGTGGTTTGCTGCTTCCTGCCAGACCAGTTGCAAATGAAATTTTTATAAGGAAGTATTTTAGCAACATATCTTAACACATGTGGCCAGTAAAACACGTGAAGAGGTATTCATATTGGACTTAATAAGATAACAGATTGAATTGTGAGACCATTTTTGTCCAAAAGGAAAAAGAGGAAATCAAAATGTCAAATGTGCTCTATTAGAAATGTTTTTAATTATAATTTTCAGATGTGTTGTTTTTAAAATAAATTTAAAATAATAATGGTAGTTCAGGATCTTTGCATGGAAGATCTTTCCTTTCCTCTGAGTGTCTGAGTGAGATTTTTAAAGCAAGCTGCTTCTCTTCATAAATAAATAATCATTACAAATGGGTTTTTTTGGCTACCATATTAAATAATATAATGCTTTTATAAGGCACAAGTTTTCATGAGCTTCCATATCGCTGTTAAGCTGTGCAACTTGAATATGTCTGCTTTCTCCTTGCATGGAGGGTTTTGAGTTTTGTTAAAACTCTGTGTTGAATAATAGTTTTTATTATGTTCAAATTTCTGAAAAGAGCCTATTTTTTAATTCTCATTCAGTTTAGAAGGGGGATTTTACAGTACCAACATATGCTTACTTTAAAGGTTACAGTTAGATTTTATTTATTTATTTATTGCATTCTAAAGTAATAAAAAAAATGAACACTGGTGATTGATTTATTTTCTCTAACTTGATGTTACAGGTGATAATCACATAGGTGGTAATAGCAGAGAGGGCACATTTAAAGAAACAGTAACATTAAAGTGGTGTACACCGCGAACAAACAGTGTTGGTAGGTAATGTACTTTCTGTAAGCATTTGAGAGAAACTCTCATGTACTAGGGGTTTTCCAGGGTTACCCGGACATAAGAAATGCCAGATTATTGTACTGCTCTTCCCTTTCCTTTCTGCTTCCTGCACCCACTGACTACAATTTACTGCTAGCCAAGAGACCTCCAAGGAAACTGCAGCCTGCATTTCATTGTGATTTGGCCAACAGTCAATATTTTGTCGCATTGAATGTCCCTGACCTGGCTAGTTTGTAATTTATTTACACAGAAGGGGGAAAACCAGGATTTTTTTTCCCTCCCTTCTCCAATGGGTTGTATTTTTAGTACAGCAGAAAGGCTAGATGTTCAGTAATTTTCTAGCCAGGTAATAGATTTCCTTCTCCATTATTCTTCTATGGTTTACTTCATCAATTCTAGAATATTATAATATTCTACCTGGCTCCGTAACTTTGAGATGCCTGTGTATCTTTTTTTTTTCTTCCTCCCCCCCCCCCCCCCAACATAAAGAAAGCAGTGCTTTGCCTAGCAGTGTCTCATCACTGTGCAGTGCAGGAAAGCACTACACATACATTACACGCACTCTCACACAGACAAAGCAACAACAAAAAACCCCCTTCAAACAAATTTCTGCAGCCAATGCAGATGATTCTGCAGGTCTATAATCATTTAAGACTTTAGAGTATGGCGAGCAAGACAGTAGCTTATGTCTGCATCCTCCCCTCTCCTCCATGTTTAGTCTATTCTTTTCAATCTTTTGGATCCACACTAAAAATATTCTTGCCTGTTTATTTCCAAGCAACAACAAAAAACCCCCTTCAAACAAATTTCTGCAGCCAATGCAGATGATTCTGCAGGTCTATAATCATTTAAGACTTTAGAGTATGGCGAGCAAGACAGTAGCTTATGTCTGCATCCTCCCCTCTCCTCCATGTTTAGTCTATTCTTTTCAATCTTTTGGATCCACACTAAAAATATTCTTGCCTGTTTATTTTTCAGAATTACATTATTGCACTGGAGCATACAGAATTTCCCCTGTAGATGTAAATAGCCGACCATCGTCCTGCCTTACTAACTTTCTTCTTAATGGTAAATTGTTTTCTTGGCTAAACATTTTAAAGTTTAGCTATTGATGTTACTGATAGAACAGTTATTATTTAAAAATTTGTACAGCAACTGCACTGTATACTTGCAGTGTTAAACATTTAGATATGCAGTGGTTATTATAGGATCACATACCACCTGATCTGTGTAAAAGCAATAATAATTGCAGTAAAAGACGAGCACCGTGGTAATTTTACTGATAAGTGTGCCTAAATACAAATAGAATATGACATGCATATTAGGCCTATGTGAAGCGGCAAGTATTTGCTTTGGATTCAGATTTGGCTGCCACCAAATTGGCCGAATCTCCAAATCAGACCAGCTGCCCCACCCAGCCCTAGCCTCCTGGCTCTTTAATTAAAAAAAAAAAGCCCCAGCACACGATCCCTACTGCCCCACGCTGAATGGGGGGCTCTGTCATGAGCCCTCATTCCCTGCCTGCTCTCCCAGCCCCAGAGTCCTGGCTCTTTACAAAAAGCAAAAATAAATAAAAAGTCTGGCGCTCACTGGCTGCTGCCAGGTTGGGGGAGGTGGGGGTGATCCCTGCTGCATCCCACTGCCCATGCTGTGTGGGGGGCTATACCATGAGCCCCCAGAAGCCCCGACAGCCACTGCAGCAGCTGGTGAGTGCGGGGCTTTTTTTAAAGAACCAGGAGGCTGGGGCCAGGTGCAACAGCCATGGGGGCGGGGGGGGCTAGGAGAGCAGGCAGGGGATGGGGTGTGGCAGGGGTCCCCCATGGTCCCCTTTCCCATTCTGCACCTCCCCCGCCCCCTACTTAACAGCACAGAGCTCCCTGTGGCAGCGAGCAGGGACTGCCCAAGTCTCTGAAACTCATCAAATCTTTTCCGACTCAATTCAGGCCTTTTTATTGGTCTCCTGATTTGATTTGGTTTTGGAGTTTTGACTGTTGAATCGGGCTGAATCTTCTCCGAATCAAATCAGCACCCGAAACTTCACATAACCCTAATGCGTATTCCCTTGAAAAATGGAAGAAATAGGAAGCAGAAGAAAGGGCAAGAGTTGTACCTTGATAAGTTATCACGTTTTAACATCAATAAATCAGAAAAAGTGAGTATGCATTACTATCTAGATTTAGAAAAACTGTGTTTTCTCATCAGAAAATAAGATAATAGGTTTTCTTGTCCTCATAAACAACTTACAAGTAGTAATTGTGTTAGTGCAAAATATGAATAAATTTCTAATGAGTTAGTATAGGATGGAGAGTTTGCTATCTATTTATACTTCCTCTGCCAACTCTCCTTCAAGAGACTAAAAATTCTTTCTCCTTATTAATGCTGTAACTTATTTTTCAATTCTAAATTGCATCCAGCTAAGAGTAGGAGTAATAATATACAAGATTGACCACCTTCAGTAAGAATCGGTTAATCCTGGACTTTACAGTTGATCCAAGTAGCGGGTCATGGTCATGGGTTTCTGACTTCTGTTTTTGTATGCTGGGATGGCTTTTTGCCTGAATGAAATTGGATGACCCCAGTGTAATTTGGTATGACCAAGATTAGTTTAAACAGGCAGTTTATCAGTTAAACAGCTTCAGACTTCTGCCATAAATCATGTTGTCTGAAGTGGTGGGCATTTTAAATGTTGAAAGTAGATCCAAACTGTAGACCTCTGCAAAATATGAATACATGTGCAAAAAGTTAATTGTTTTGCCACTTCTCTTGCAAATAGCCTGCACAGTTATTTTAATGACAAGTGTTAGGCTATGTACTCTTGAAAATGTACTTAGAAGTAGATTTTTAAAAAATCAAAGGGTTTTTTTTCCCCTACAGTTTTTCAAACAGTGGGGGTTGTGGAGAAGAAGAGCAAATAGATGTTTAAAAATGTAATTAATACCTATTTTTAATGTAAAGTTGTCTGGTTTTTCTAACAACTGAGCCTACTGATTTGTTTTCAGTATTTGGAATTGAAAACAACCAAAATATAGTTTAAGAAAATAAGCTCTGACTCCCTGTTTTTTGTTTTCTTGTAACAAACAATACTCTTTAGAGGACAGAATTTCTCATTCCTAACTCAATTTTAGGGAACTTAAATGAAGCTATTTTTAACACCTCTACATTTGAAAATTGTGCCCCTTTAAAAGAAAAAAGGATACTTTTATGTTTAAATAATTAACACAGGGTAGCTACTTAAAATTGCCATGGGCTTAGTCTTCAGTGAGACAGTGTGTCGTGTTTGGGTCGCAATTTGGTTTACAAAGATAAAACATAAGCTGTTGAAAATTGTAGGTTGATTATATACAAGACGGCATTCTCATTCCTTTTTACAAATGTATCTTCCTAAAACCTAAATGTTTAAATACACAAAAAGAAATAAAAGTATTTGGTTGGAATCCTGTCTATATCAAAATACAAAAACAGCATTAAGTTTCATAACAGCTCATTTAAAGGCCGGAATTAAAATCAAATAGGAAAGAGTTGTAGAACTCCTAATTCCAGTTTAGTAAGATAGTTGTAGGTTAGTTTAACAGTTAGGGTTCACTGGGTAAGATAAAAATCAGTAGAATAATTATATAAGTTGCAATTCATAATTAACTAAAATGATCTCAATTTTAATAGGTCGTTCTGTTTTGTTGGAACAGCCACGGAAATCAGGCTCTAAAGTAATTAGCCATATGCTTAGTAGCCATGGAGGAGAAATATTTTTGCACGTATTAAGCAGCTCTCGATCAATTTTAGAAGATCCCCCATCAATTAGTGAAGGATGCGGTGGTAGAGTTACAGACTACAGGATTACAGTAAGATTCTACTGATTGTTTATGGTTTTACTTGCAATTCATCAGATTTTAAGGGTGAAGGAATTGGGTTGAATCCGACATCCAGTACAATAAGGAAATGGGTCACTTGCCCAGGTTGCCTAACTTATCTGGGTCAACCATTTTCAGTACATTACCGTTGGTAGTCAGACATCAAGTATGCATACACTTTATTGCCCCCCTTGCATCTGTACTTGTTTGTTTTAGGTAAAAAAAAAATTTCAAGATCTTCTCATTAGTGACTTTTTCTTATAAAACACTGTTTATCTTAACAGTGTTGTGAAACGAACTAGGCCTATACAGGTCTCTGTCAGAATGGTTGTCACAATGAGGAACTTGAGAATTGGCAGACAGAACATTTTTAAAAGAAAACTGGAGCTCTGAAATTCATTAGTACCCTTGTATTTGGAACTTAAGTATTTCCTTTATTGTCTCATTTGAGAGCGTATTGCACATTGTAAAATTTACTGAACCTTGAACAGTATGGATTTTGAACACTATGGGTGTTCATTTATAGATTATGGATTGTCAGACTTTTCCTTAAATGTTTTCTGTATACATCCAAAGTAGAATGACATATGAATGCTGAACTTCTAGTCTTTAGACCTAAGTGCATTGCGGGGGTTTTCTGTTGCACTTTATTCATAAGGAAAGCTATGAGAAGGCAGGGTAGATTTGTACTGTATAGGTTAACTGAATTGGAGAGAGACCCTATTTACTCGAGTCCAAGATGAGTTCTTTTCCTCATTGAACATGGGGAAAGCCAAGGCTCGTCTTGGACTCAAGTATCACACCACGCCAGCTGTGAGCTACAGGGAGCAGCTGTGCAGGGAACCTGCCTTGGCCTGGGGCAGTGGTGGTGGCAGTTTCCTCCTTCCCTGGCTGGCTCCCTCCCCCTGTCTTCCCTGCTGGACAGGAGCAGGCTGGAAAGAAAAATCTGTGTACTGCCACAGCTGTTTCTTGCAGCATGGGGCAGGAGCAGGTCAGAAACAGCTCTGGGGCTCCCCCCCTACCCATGCCTGTGTCAGCTGGGAATTGGCTGGCTGCAGCTGAGAACTGTGGGGAGTGGTTGTGCAGGGAGTCCACTGTGGTATGGTGGGGAGGAGCTTTGAGGTTCCCTCCATGTCTGCTTCAGTGTTATGTAGGTTCCTTCTTCCAACTCCTACTTCCAGCCAACAGGGGAGACTGGGGTGTGAGGGTAAGGACTATGCAAGGAGCAAGACCTGGAAGGAGGAACCTGCGAAACCCTCTATGATATTTGACCCATTCAATGAAAGTTATTTTATTAGAAAAAATCCTAATTTTATTTTATTTGGTTATCAGGATTTTGGTGAATTTATGAGGGAAAACAGATTAACTCCTTTTCTAGAACCCAGAAGAAGTCTTGAGATTCCTTTGGAACGAGCAAAAGATCAGTTAGAGAAACATACACGTTACTGGCCTATGATTATTTCTCAGACTACCATTTTCAACATGCAAGCTGTAAGTGACCTTGAATTTATTATTTTTTCTATTCTGTTCTGGAGGAAATTTCCAAAGTGTATTTGGGAAGTGCTAATATAAGGGGGGCAGATGGGAAACTAATGCATGGGGAGTATGCTACAGAAAAAAACAAATGCTATAAAAGTAGGTTAAGGTTTAGCTTTCACTTTTGATTAAATATGCTGTGGATAATTTATGATTAGAAGTCTAACTCACGTGTGCTCAACCGTTGGCTTATGAGCCAAATCTGGCCTGTGTCCCCAAGTCAGTTGGCCTGTGGGGCTCCCCATGGGTCAGGAAATATGACAGCAGGTGAATGGTGGCACTGCAACCCCACTGCCAAATTTACAGACCCATGGGGAGTCCCAGGACCTTCGTGCTGGATCAGATGGCTAATCCCAGTGTGCAGGTAAGGGTGGCACAGGGCTGGGCCAGGCCCAGGGCACAATTCCAGCATATGGGGGCTGGGAGGAGGTACCACCAATCCCCTAGGACCCAATCGCAGCACACTGGGGCTGGAGGGGCAGTGCCTGCCCCCCAGGGACCAATTCTGGTGAAAGGGGGTGGCACTGGGCCTCTGGGACCCAATCTTGGCACTGGAGGAGGTAAGGCCCAATCCTAGCCCTTGGGGCTCAATCCCAGTGCACAGGGGCAGTGCCAGGTTCTGGGGTCCACTCCCGGCACACAGGGCAGGAAGGGGGCTGTGTTGGAACTCAGGCCTCAATCCTGGCACACTGGACTTAATCCAGCTCGTGGACCATCCCTACCCACTCATCTGGCCCATGGGATCAAAAGGTTGAGAACCACTGCTATAAGTAAAGGCAGAGGGAGACATAGAATTGACTTGGATGCAAAGCCTTTGGATTAAGAAAGAAAAGTTTATGATGAATGTATGTCAGGAGTTGTTTCCAGTTTGGGGGCAAATAATTTGATTTCTATAGCAGGTTCTACTGAAGGCTCTAGTTTTGTTTTCTTAACACTTACGAATTTTTTTTTTGTGTCATTTTTGTTTTGCATTGCAGGTGGTGCCATTAGCCAGCGTGATTGTAAAAGAAGCCCTGACGGATGAGGATATACTGAATTGTCAGAAAACCATATACAACTTGGTAGATATGGAGAGGAAAAATGATCCATTGCCAATATCAACAGTTGGTACCCGGGGAAAGGGTCCAAAAAGGTTTAAGAATTATTTACAGTCTACTTTTACTAAAATAGTATCACAACTGCATATGAAACTTGTATTTTAAATCAGGTTATCAAAGGTGATTTAGAATCCAGTGAACTAATATACACACATGCACACACAATCAATGTTGTATATAGTTTGGTTGCATCTTTTAGAACTGTAATAATCATATTCCCTTTATGTTAAAGAAAAACTTCAGTGTAATTGGAAAGAGATTAGATCATAGCTAATAAAGAAAAATTGCAAATATTATATTTGCCTGTAAAAAATGGAATTTGCCTGTAAATCAAAGTTGGAAGACTTTTGATATATGTTATCTATTCTCATAGTGACCTGCATTTCCTGTTCTTCAATTTAATTATTTGCAGGACAGAAACCAAAGCAAAAAGTCACCACTGAAAGACTCCAGTCTTATCCACAGTCTGTAGATAAATGTTATGACAATTGTCTGTAGCAGGGGTGTCTACCTTACTTACTGGCCCTCTCAGGCTGGATGTTCTGCCTCCAGCAGTGGGGCAAGTGGTAGCAGCATTAACCCCTGCAGTTGTTGAAGCTGCCATTTTGGCATGGCTCCAGAACCCAGGGAGTTAACGTTGCTGCCAGTAATTTCATGCCAAGAATGAAGTAATATGGAGCAAATAAGACTTAAATCCAAGAAAAATGGAGAAACTGCCTACTGGATAGAGACTATTAAAAAAGGTGGGGGGGGGGGGGGGGGCAGGGAAACAAGATGGAAGAGAAAATAAAAAAAGGGTGGGGGGGGGGGGGATGGCAAGGCAATCAAGTAGTTACGTTCTTTTAATCTTGGTTTCTTTTTAATGTACAAATGACTTTAAAGCCATGTGTGTTCATACATGCACACTTGTGTGTATAAATAAGTAAAGATATACTTTTATGTCCTCTTGTAGAGATGAACAGTACCGGATTATGTGGAATGAATTGGAGACCCTTGTTAGAGCACACACAAACAACTCTGATAAACACCAACGTGTCTTGGAATGCCTGTTGGCTTGTAGGAGCAAGCCACCTGAAGAAGAGGAGCGCAAGAAACGGGGGAGAAAGAGAGAGGAAAAAGAGGACAAGTCAGAGAAATCGGGAAAAGATTATGAACCAGATAAGCCCTGGCAGGAATCGGAGAGGTCAGCTTTTGGGGGGGGGGTTTTACGTAATAATTCTTTGGCAATTTAGATGCCCTGCACATTTTAGGTAATCCAGGCTTATCTGTATGAAATACTGTTCACGGTCAAGAAATTTTGATGTTCACTCAGACTTATTGTCCATGTGTTAAGGAACTGAAGACATTGATGTTCACTAATAATATGACTTGTATGATCAGTAACTGTCAGTTAATCTGTCTTTCGCAAATCTCTTATTCATTGATTTCTTTATTACTGTATTTACTTACACACATTACCCCATGCACCTTTCCCCCCATAAATTAGCCTTCCAAAATTGTTGGGGGGTCTTAATCAGGGAAATTGCTTTCTGCACCTGAATGAAGCATGGATATGCTGGAATGGCTGCCAGAGGCTGTTCTTCTCTCACAGATAGCATGTTACAAGGTTGTAGTCCACTCCCCAACATCAGAGCTAGAATTTTAACCTTCTCATAGCTGCTACCAAAGTGGATCCTCAGCTAAAAGCTATGGCCAATTTTGCAGCGACTGTGAGAGGGTTAAAACTAGCTCTTGCCTGAAATTGGAGTGGGGGAGTGAGCTAAAGAATAGCCTCTGCTCCTGCTCCAGGAGGTCAGCTTTTGGCCATGACTAGAAAAGTGTCCTTTTCTTTACTCTGCTTTCCCCAAACAAGGTGCATTTCCTATTTGGGGGTGTGTAGTACGAGAGAAAATACAATATCTATTTTTCCCCCCTTTAAGTACTGTTCTAAAGAGGTCACAAAGTGGATGTTCCAAAAACCTGTTACTCAGCCCTAAGTTCAGTTTGCATATATGCTGGTCTAAGTACCTGCAAGATGTCTGAGAGATGTTTTGGTCTCAGGTGCTGTCCATGCAGATAATATTCAAGTCTTCATGTGATCAAGTCCAGCATTGCAGTTTCCCATCTTTTGTAGAATGACACAAAAGTAGGGACCTGCATGTTGGTAATCTATTTTAGGCTCATCCTTGTTATTGTAGAGGCGGATGGGTCTGTGCTAGGAGTGGGTTTGGGTTGTCTTGATTGTTGACAATTAACAAATCTGTAGAACAGTCCAGTATCTGAATAATGAGCATTGTATAAATAGCTATTCATATTAAATTGCTTTAGGTGATTCCTACTTCCTTTTGGCCTACATTCAAAAGTAATGCTTAACCTGTAGCTTCCCTGTTATCTCTATCCTATCTCATCACTTGAAACAAAATGTGTGTACAAGGAGAGGTGTGATGTGTGACCTTGAACTGCACTGTAAATCAAAAATATATTATGGTATGCTCTGTTCTCCTGCCTTTCCCCTCATTTTCATTTCTTTCCCCACCCAAACTAAAGGTTAAAAAGTGTATTAGATCGGGAAAAAGAGGAACTGGCTGAAGCTGAAATCATAAAAGACTCTCCTGATTCTCCTGAGCCACCTAACAAAAAGCCTCTTGTTACAATGGATGAAATGCCACCAGTAGAAAAGGCAAAAGGTAAGTCAGTAATCAAAACCAATTTTAAGAGATGGCAGCTCTGGTAAAAATTGATCTGAATCACAAAATCTCCTACATGGTTATCACAGTAACTAATCTTTTCTTAAGTGACCTAGAGGTGTATCTCTTCAATACAATATAACCTCTTAAATCTGGGTTTTAAAAATCCAGAATTCTCAGAAATCTGGCACTTTGGCAGCTCGTCCCAGAGTAACGGCTGCGTGCGGAGCGGCGGCGTAGAGTGGTGGATGTGGTGGCAGCCACCGCGTGCAAGCTTCCCTCTCTGCATCTGGACAGCTGGGCAGTGACCAGCTGCCACTACCCCCCTGCTCCATACACCTTATTTATGTTTCAGAAATCTGGCATTTTCAAATATCCAGCAGGTGCTTGGTCCCAAGCATGCTGGGTTTATGAGGTTATACTGCACATAGATTTATTTGCTCAGTGCTAAGGTGAGTTGTTACTAAGTTGTATGCAAAAGCAAAAATATACCCAGTAGGATTTTCCAAAGATGAACAGTAAAATAAAAAAACCAGTTGATTAATTGAAGAGTATGACAAATCCTGTACAGAGAAACAAGCAAGATCTTACTGTGAGCTGAGCAGTTTTGGACAGTGTGGGAGTGAGAATTCTAGGAATGGATTCTTGTATTATGATAAAGAACCTGTTTCCTTGATTGCTGTTCATTGAGGCCAGGTTGACATGTTCTCAAATGGAAAAGTACCTTTTACCATGTATAATCCCATTGATTTCAGTGGATTTATTTATGCAGTAAGGCACTTCTTCTCTGGGCTGAAGGCTGTTGTTGTTCATGATCTAAAAAGTGAATTGTATTCAAAGATCATTTTTTGCATAGAGGTGTCACTAAAGCAGAAAAAAACACCAGGGTAAAATAGAGAAGAGGAAACAACCTATTGGAGACCATAAATGGCAATTACTCTGGAAGAATTTAGGTTGATAGAGATTTTTGTATATAAAAAAGAACTTTTCATTTAAAGTGCTGAGTGAAGTAGAACAGAGTGTATCATACATTTATAATGAGAAGGACACAAGAATCCAGTTATGAATGAGGCTTAGGAGAAAGCACCTAACTCTTCTATCGTCATCAGCTGCAGAAGAATTAAGGCTTGGGGATGTTTGAAGAGTTTAGTTAGAGTTTTGAAAGATGTCTTCTGACTCTCTTCATGCATATCTGTAATCTACTTTTCTACTATACGGTACCTAGATATTAACAAATGGAACATGGTGACTCAGTTTTATGTCAAGGGTCTAGTGACAGGTGTTTTGGATAGCTGCAGTTTGGAAACATGAAAGTACAGAACCGTCTTAGAGAGGGATGGAGAGATTCCCAATATTAACAAAAAAAAAGAGAGAATATTCCTGGCAGTCTTTGCTGCTGTCCATTGTTTTTGGTTGTTCTGACTGAGGACTTTTTTGGACCAGTGAACCCTATTCATATCAGCTAAGCAACTGCATTTCATAGATTGCAGCAGGTTCTGGAGCTGAAAGATGGATAAGTGACCCCTTTTCTTTGCAGCTGAATGACAGTGAGGGTGCCCAGTTCCTGTGTTGGGACATCTGGAAGAGATAATGCCTTCTTTCATTCCTGTTTCCTGACAGACCACTTCCACATAGAGCAATGAAAAAATTGAAGTCTAGTTTTATGCATTTAGGGTAAAGTTGGACTGATGTAGAACAGCTCCTATCTGCTTATGGCACATGAGGTCTGTCTACTCCATTTACCACTCTATCTAGGCACATAGCCTGGGCAGGGTATGGCCAAGATTAGTGACCCCCTGATCTTACACTACCTAAATTTCTCCTCTTTGCAGCCATCATGTTCATCCTACCTATGTTGTAAACTCATGGTGGTAAAGACCAGGCTTCCCCTTCATGTTATATGTGGCACGGTATAGATAGTATAATTTGTTCATATACAGGGGTTATGTTTGGGACTCCATTAATCAGATTTCTTTTTGATTTTTCCATATGGAATTCTAGGGCCTATGTCCTTGCTGTCTCTGTGGAGCAATAGGATTAATACAGCTAATTCTAGGAAACATCAAGAATTTATTGGTCGTTTGAATTCTGTCAACAACAAAGCTGAGCTGTATCAACATCTCAAAGAGGAAAATGGGTTTGTATTGCTAAATTCACAATACTAAATATATTTTACTAACAGCTGAATGCTATATGGAGCACTAAGTTAGTTGTCTACTAAGATCGGTCTTTACCTCGTGCACTAAGTAAAATTTGGTCTGGTTTTTTATTTTTATAGTTTTTGCTTTTAGTTGCTGAGCAAGACTGAATATGACCTGACTGTAATCTGTTTTAAGATTCCTTTCCTCCTTTTCCAGAGACTGCCATGTAGTACCACTCCTTAAATTTGGCAGAAGCAGAATTATGGACAAGCTCAGATCCCTTGAGTGCCAGGCTGTCACTCAATCCATCCTTCAAAACAGTATCCAACATCAAAAGCCACCAATTTGAACCTTGTAGACAATAAACTTTTGCATCTTGTGCCATACCTTAATGAAACAATGATAACTTAATCCATATCCTGTATCTGTCCACAAGCTGGATTGCTGTGAAGCAATCATTGGAGTGTAGGCAGTCAGTGATTTGAAAATGAGGATAAAAATAAAGGGAAAAAGATTTAGTTTCATGAGGGATTTGACACAAACCAACAAAGTACAAAAGATTCGGAGAAGCTTATCCTCAGTCACAAGTCTGCTCTTATCTTTTAACAACTGCTGGTATTGATAATAGACTCAGGCTTAACTGGGATTTTTATATGTGAACCTTACTGCACATGTAGTACAGTTGTAAGCAGAAAGTTTGCTTTCTTTTGACATAGCAATTACTTAGAAATTTTTACTTAAATAAGTGGTGAGATACTGAAAAATTTAAAAGGACTATTTATATGAAATTAGTGATCTGCCTTTTAATTTTAATTATCTGAGTGACTTGCAAGCAGGTTATACATCCAAACTAACCAGTCTTTTTGTATTTCAGCATGGAAACAACAGAAAATGGAAAAGGCAGCCGACAATGATTGTTGATTAATATTTTTTAAACAAGCTAAAGTTGGCCAAAATGCATAATTATTTTATGCTGAAATTTGAAGTTGATATCATTTCATTAAGATTGTATAGTTCTGTTGCTTTGGTTTTTACATTTTTCTAATTTTATCCCTTTTCTATGAGATGTAGAATCTACATATTACATTAAATGACTTGTGTGCAAATGAGATTGTTCTTCAATTATCTTACATTGGATTTTAGGATACAAGCTTGTCCCCACCACTGTACGCACAAATACACCCTTGAAATGTCACAATCTGTTTTCCAGGTCTTTTTTCTGGGAAATATTGGTAAAAATGTGAAAAGCTTACAACATTAAGATTTTTAGGGAGAAAAACAGAACTCTGAATTTGAACCTCTAGTTTCCTGACACATTGCTATGTTTTAAGATGTATGCAAAACCTCCCAGGAGGCCAAAAACTTAAGAGAACGGCTCTAAAAAGAAAATGCAGACTTCTCATTTAGAGTCCATGCCTGGAGAAGATGGCATTTCTAGATCAACATTTGGGCGAGGGAAGGTTTTAAGATCTTTAGTAGAGTATAATGATGGGGTTGAGTGTGTGAACTTTTAGACAAGATTATTTTCATTCAAGTAGCAAAGCTTTTCTAGTTGCTCTTTATGCTGAAATTATCAAAACACAATAAAAATCCTTGCTTTCTAAATGAGGTGTAATTTTAAAATTGTTCTAATTGTTCAAAGAATTTCTCCCAATCTACTTCTGGCAACAGTTGGAATACAAGATTTTGAAGGCTAATTTCTCCTCTGAATGTACAGGTGATACTCGATCTGTGATCTCCATTGGTAGCTGTGGAATATCAAATTAGATGTTCTCCCTGAAACCATTTTTTGATTCCACCTCAAGTTCTTGGATGGTGTGACTAGATCTGTTACTTTTGTTCCCCCTGTTAGAAAGTGGGGCTCATTTCTTTATGGATGACTGAATGTCAGTCAGAGGGAAGAACTTGGGTACAAAATAAGGCCTAGTCTAGAGAATAGGATCCAGACCCATCAGTTTCCTTTTCTGTATCTGTGCAGCAAAATTATCCTATCCTTGAGATGGATTATCCTTTTGTTCGATAACAGCTGTTAGAAGAAACTAAGGGTCCCATATATATATATTATAGAGCAGGACTGATATTCTGTGTTTTACTTCAGGCTTTTCTTCTGAATAGGTAAGTATATCATATAGGCATATTTTATCATTTAAGAGTTCTGAAGGCCATGCTTGATGACCACTGGATCAGAACACAAATGTAATTTGGGTACTTCTTCCTTAAAATTGGTTACTGACCCAGGGAAGCAGCTTATATAGTTTCAAAGTCATTGTATAACAACTGAAATGGAATCAAGAATAAATGGTTTCCCTCCTGTTATATGATGATTATTTTAGAGCTACTTGTAATGAAATAATTTACAAGGTCATAATATTACTCTGTAAATAAGGATGATTTTTGAGATATTTCATCTTACAGTCGCATTTTATATTTGTATGAAGCTTGCTGAGGTCCTCAAAGCTTTGTACAAGTAGCTGTATGCAAAGTACCCCACTGACCTCTGCAATGGGAGGGCAGTAGCCAAGAAGCATTAATTGCACACAATGTACTGTATAACAGTGGTGGAAGGGAAAACTTTCCTCAAAGACGCTGGAGGAAACTCATTCCATTTACAAAAAGGACTTGGGGTTATTGAAAGTCCTCTTTGTATCAGGTAGGGATCTCATTTTAAAATAACCTGAAGACTACTTCAAAGACTCCCTATGCTTGAGAAGAGATTTTTAAAGGCCACAGGTCCTCATTTATTCTACTTACCTGAAAACCAGCGTATCTTTTATTGCACAGTTTGCTAGTATTACACTGATTCGGTGCTGATACAGAACAAAAAATGTTGATAGTAGAAACATCAAGCTGTAGACTTATCTGATCTGAGAGCAGGTAGCTAACAAAGCTGCTATTCTGAACTTGAAATTGTGGCAGTGGTGAGGGGAGTGGGCTTGTGTTGCTCACACAGTGGTGGGGGGAGAATGACTCGCATTGTATGGGGTCAGGGATGTTGTACTGCTCTGGAAAGGAGGGGGCGAGGGCTGGCACTGCCCACATGACAACAGCTGGAGGGTGGGGGGGTGATACAGAAGTAGAGTGGCTGTGCACAGTGGGCGTCCTGCACAAGCTCACTTTCTCTTTCCCCTCTTGCTATTTATTCAAACTGGGATAATAAGCTTACAGCTTAATGTGGTTGCGTAGGCTTGCACAGGGGCTTGATACATTCCACAAAAATGAGTGAGATCATTCCTATTCATCCCAGTAGTACAGGTTTGGGTTTCATGAAGACAGCTTGACTGCTCCAAACCACGTGATGGTTCTAAATATAAATCTGTTATTCCTAATGCCTGTTCTACCTACCAACCATAGCTTTAGACCAGTGATTCTCAGTGAGGCTGCCACAAGATCTTTTGAAGGGTACCTTGAGTTGTGAAGAGATAAGCAGGTATGAGGAAGTAAGTGCAGGCTCAGATATGTCCCAGCCTGGCTGCTGTCCCAGCCTGGCTGCTTCCCCACCCCCACCGTCCAATTCTTCTGCAAGGAGGTAAGCACTGTAATAAATCAGTTTTTGAAATGAGTGCCACTTAAGTTACAAGTTATGGAGGGGTGCTTTGAGTTAGATGAGGGATGCTTCACACCTAAAAAGATTGAGAACCACTGGCTTAGACCCTCAGTTGCTGGAAAATAGTGTTGCTATATTCACTTTGACTTTATCAATACACTGTTTTGTTCACAATTGGCTGACTTGTAAGTGTTTCTGTAGTCATCCTGAGGGGTGATTCAAAAAAGTGTGTCAGCAATATTATCCTTAGTTAAAACAATCGGTTCATACAGGAGATCATTGTTCATTGTAAACTTTCTAGTACTGTCATTTTCACCTTCTATGCTCTTTTACTGTCAGCATTGGACATTGACTATTTAGAGAAGAATATTGCTGTTTCAGTTCTCTTCTGTGCCAGCAATTATGGTGCTGTTTTCCTGGTCTTCTATTGAAATGCAATGTCATTAGCGCTGTAGGTAGGCTTTCAACAATGCATCCAGTACCAGCAATACTAGTGAGGAAGAAAGAGACATTTTATCACCAGTGGCTACAAAAAGTAGCTAAATGTAAGTTGAAAATACATCAAGACATCAAAAGACATCAAGTTTAGTTTTCATGTCTTGTCTGTCCTTTAGCTGTCTCGTGTGTGTGTGTGTGTGTGCGCGCGCGCGCGCGCGCACACACACATATAGCTACAATAAAGTCCTAGTATTTTGTATATCTTGTTGTGTAGCCTTGTCAGCGAATTTAAGTTTCTTTTGCTATAAAGTAGATGGTATTTAATCATTTTCTATAACTGTATCAATCACATTTTATCCTTCTTTTTTAGATATTTCACTGTGCTCTTAAGCTGAAGGCATCATTATTGTGCCAAAAGCAAAGCCAAGGCAAAGAGCAGACTGCTGTCCTAGGGATTTATAGTCTATTTGGTGGTGTGTTTAAAAAACAAAACAAAAAATATGCATTTCATTTTCAGAGCTATAATATAAGTGGGTCACATGTCCCTCACCTGTCAAGCTTTCCTATTCAAATTGTAATGTCAGACAGTATATTCTGTGGATGTTTCTTTGTGAGAAATGCAGTGCTCTTATGACATCTCAGAAGCACAAAAGAGAAAGCTGCTATTTAAGGGAAAATTTCTGTAAGTTTAAAGTCAGGCCCTTGGATACCAGCACATCTGCTCTGAGGAGAACACTTGTGATGTAAAATCTTCCTTTATACAACAAGGACCCTCTAGTAAAAAAAAATAGGCTGAATACTTGAAAGAGCTACCCAAGTACCCTACTGGTAACCTGGTACAATCCAAAAAGAAGCCCCCCCTGTAATCAAACAACCTTGGTACTTTGGTACCACCCTACATGAACCTATCAAAAGAATCCTCAAACAACTTCAGACTTGATTAAAAATCAGACCTTGAGAGAAATATTCCCAACCCCTCTACTCTTGGCTTTCAAATAATAACCCCCTAACCTTGCCATCATCAGAAGCAAACTCCCACTGTCCAACCGATGTAAAGTGGAACATAGCCTTTTCTTAGCAAGAAATGCTTAATGTGTCAACACTGCTACTACAGTTAAAACCATAAGAATGCATGGATCCTACATTTCCCATTTCCCATTAATGTGATATATCTAATATAATGCATCAAGTGCCCTCATGGCAGCTATGTGGGTGAAAGTCAACAGCAGCTATGTATCAGAATGAGCTCTTACAGAAATAAAATATAAAGGACAGACACATGTACACTATTAGGTGCACATTTCTCGCAGGACCACTGCTCCATCTCTGACCTCACTCATGCTCAAGGTAGAGGTACCCAATACATTTAAAAGACAAACTTGGGGAATAAAAATTCATCAGGTGGCTGGACACTAGGAACCAAGGACTTACATTAATATTGGCTTTGTGGCACCTTGTAATGTACCTGATTCCTGAATTCTTCCCACACAGGCAATGATAATGACACAGATGGTAACCTTATTCCTTTTTGATAGGCCTTGATATTCCAGCTATCAGCTGCTTTTCTTCTACAAGTTTTATTCTCCCAACTCAGTCAAGGTATATGCTCAAGAGGAGCGCAGAGAAAGTACATCAAGAATGTCCTCAAAGCCAACTTGAAAAAATGCCACCTTGACAAGTTGCAAGAGAGTGCCCCAATTGGAGGAAGGGTCTGCTGCAAAGATCTCAGTATTTTGAAATCTTATGATGACAACAGAAGATGGAAAAGTGGGAGCGGCAGAAAGAGCATGTCATGGACTGAATCGAATCTGGATCCACCCACCCTGCCTGGAAACACATGCCTGAGTTGCTGCAGAGTCTGAAGATGGGCCTCATCAGCCAGCTTTTGACCCACAGATAAAAAATCATGAAAGACACTCATCTTCAACTGTGAGGGATTGCCCAAGAAGAAGTTTGCCTGATATCCCTGGGAATTTCTCTCCCCCATCTTCCAACAAGTTTTTAGTATGGCTGTGCTGGCTTTTCTCCTCAGACCTGAAAAAGAATGTCTTGCATTCAACATCTTGTCTTACTCTATCCTAGTGTCTTTTAAACTGTGTTCTGTGGATCCCTGGTGTTCTGCGATAGGTCATCAGGGGTTCCGCAAAGAGATTGTGGGTAATGGCAAAGTGGGCTAGGGTGTAGTGCACTGCCATTGCCAAGCCAGGTTACCTGGTTTCATGTAATTCCTGAGAATAGGCGTAGGAGTTCCATGGCAAAAGAAATGATCTGAACTATGCAGTTGGTCTAATAAAAGATATCGCCTGAAAAAAATCCTTTTCTCGCAGAATTCTGAACCGTCATGCCTACTACATCACTCTAACATTACCACAATATGCAAGTTTAAAGCAATTTTCAAATTGGTATGTAGTCTAAAGATTTTGTTCATTAGTCTATTAAAATGTGTGATGTTACCTCTTTTTATCCTTAACATTTTGGATGTCATAACATGAAGCAGAGCATTCTGAGCTAATTTTGCCCTCAGTGCAGAGTATAAGTCTGCACAGCTTTTGTAGTTTTGCCCTATGATGTTCCTTTCGAGAAAGAACTCCAGGATTGGACTAGATGACCTTCTGAGGTCCCTTTCCAACCTAATTTCCCATGATTCTATGATAAGACCCTATTTTCCTTTTTTTCTATCCAGTTTTGAAAAGACGGGTACTACCAACAAAAAAAGTGCAAGAATTTCTCGTGCCACCCAAGTGAGAGAAATCTGCCATGTAAAATTGTCAATAGCATTGAAGTCCTGATTCTTAACTTTATTGATTTTGAAATGTAGGCCATAGGATTATGACTGTTTACCATTGCCAGTGGCAGCACCCTCAACAATGTGCTGCTCTGTTTACCTGCTTCCATATTAATACTGTTGAGCTGCATTGGTTTAAGGGCATAGGCAGACATGGGATTTACCCAAAGAACCTTATTTTTTTTTATTAGACCAACTCAAGTAGTTGGAAAAATTCTTCTTTGCAAGCTTTCGGGTAAAGCTGTTTTGGGGAGCATAGATTTACCATATACCAGCCAGAAAGACTGGCTTAAGACCATGTGGAGGCATCTGAGGTTGTAGCACTGGCACCTCTTGGACTACATCACCCGAGGTAGAGACCTGAGGGACGTGCTTGCCATGAGGGCCATGAAGGGATCTGAAGACTGCTGGACGGACTTGTGCACTCTGTGATGAACATTTGCCTGGCACCAAGACACTGGAAGACCCAGAAGGCCGCCCAAAGATAGCTGAACATTGCAGCGCTGAAGGACCCTGGACAGTGGGAGGAGCTCCAGGCCCAGTTGTATG